TGTTAACAGAACTCTGTGTTTGGGCAGCAACGCTGCCAGGCCCAGAGGATGAATCATGATCGGTGCCATGGCAATCCTGACAATCCTGTCCCTTGCTAAGTACACACCTTCCTGGCCTCCCCTCCAGCTAAGAGTGGCCATAACCGTGTGATTCATTGCCAGCCAATGGGCCACAAGTGGAAGTCAGCTTGGAGGATCTGGGTAGTTTCCCCCTTGATAAAAGGATTTTTGAACTTTTCTAACTGCCCCCTTTCTTTTTTCTTTTTTTTTTTTTTTTGAGGAAGATTAGCCCTGAGCTAACATCCACTGCCAATCCTCCTCTTTTTGCTGAGGAAGACAGACCCTGCTAACATCGGTGCTCATCTTCCTCTACTTTATATGTGGGAAACCTACCACAGCATGGCTTTGACAACAGTGCATAGGTCTGCACCCGGGAGCTGAACCAGCGAACCCCAGGCTGCCAAAGCAGAACATGTGAACTTAACCGCTGCGCCACTGGGCTGGCCCCTAACTGCCCCCTTTCTTACTGCCTGCAATGCTGGCAGAGGGTGATGCCATACGGAATTGTGACTCTCTAGTGGTTTTAAAACATGGCACAAATTCTTTAATGCTCCTCCCACTGAGAGGTGGTATCTATGTATTGCTCTCTTGAATCCGGCAGGCTTGTGACTGCTTCCACAGGAGAAGACAGTAAAAGTGATACGCTAAATGACCTCCATAGCTGGAACACTTGCCTTGGAGCCCTAAGCCTCCATGTCTCAAACCAATGACCCTGAGTCGGTCATGGTGAGAAGCCCAAGTCACAGAAAGAGGGCAAGTGTAGATGCTCCAACTGACGGTCTCTGCTGAGCTTTCCAGAGTCACCCTAGTCCAGGCACCAGACGTTTGAATAAGAAAGTTTCTAAGAGTCCAGCCTCTGGCAGTTCAAGTCTTCCCAACTAAGGCACCAGAAAGTGTGGAGCAAAAATACACCTCTAGTGTGCCCCGTCGGAATTCCTACTCCACAGACTCCACCAGCAGTACAAAATGGTTGCTTTACACCACAAACTGCTAGGGCGATTTGTTTTATAGCAATAGACAATCAGAACAGACTCTCTCTCTCAATCCTAAGGGAAAAGTCAAGAGGATCAGAGAGATGCTGACTACAACCCCATCACCCCTAAGTCCAGACCCCTCCACATGTGAAACAATTACATATCCTTATTGCCTAGCCACAGTCACTCAAAAACATCCCTAAATGACACACCATGCAGCTGCTCAGGGTCCCAGATTCAGGTCAGAGCTCTCATCATCTTTCCCAGGGGCTGATGCATCAGCCAACTGACTGGTCTTTCCGTTTCTGGCCTTTCCCATCCTCCACACACTGCCACCAGAATGATTTTTCTAGCCCACACTCTGATCCCATTATTTCCTCCCTTAAAAGCTCCAAAGGCTCCCCATCGCTTTGCAGCGGTTCATAACTGCAGCAGGCAACAGAACCATCTAAAAGAACTTTCTATAAGTCCCAAGTCTGAGCCATTCCAGGCCCTCTGAATCAGGCATGTATACATACAAAAAGCTCCCAGGAGATTCTGATGGTCAAGCCGAGGTAAGAACCACGAAGCCTTTCTTTACCTTCCCCTCCCTCTTCCTCCAGGCAGTACATAATGCTCTGCTGTGCTCCCACGGTACCTTGTTCACATTTCTATTATTCCGATCACCCTCATCAGATACAGAGACACCAGAGAGCAAGGACCCCGTCACAGAGAATGGTGTATCCCTAGTATTTTACACGCTGTCTGGAAGACAGAAAGCACCCATCTATTTTGATGAATGGATGAATGGATACAAAATAAACCCCTAACATCTCTGCCTTCTAAGGCAAGTCTGTTTGCTCTGAAACTTTGCCACTTCTGCTAACTAAGCAAAACAGAGCAAGGAAAATACAGACAACCGCAAATTAGACAAAAATTTGAGGTTTATCATTTACCAGACCCTGGCTTACTCAGGCAAGGAGACCTGAAAACCCAAGGCCAATTCCTTTCTGTAACGACCAAGAAGGTGGAGAAACCATTTGAGTTTTACAGTGCAAAGCACATTCTCCCAACTTCCCGGTCCTGTGACTGCATCTACACCTTGCAAATGCCTCTCGGACCAAACTGTGATTCACACTGACAGTCCTCAGCAAATAACTGCAGGCGACCTGCTTGCTCCACGCATCCAACAAGCAAGTTTAACATAAGAGTGCCTTCCCAAAAAATCTACTTAGTTACATGCTGCAGGATGTACTGGGTGTGTTCCCCGGTCCCATACAGAGGGAATCGTCCTCATTTCCCCCAGTGCTCCATTACCTTGAATGTACTTCCCACTTTCAAGGGTATTTCCAGAGCACGTTCTATAAAATAAACTTTGTGGTCTTCTTATTCATACATACATAGGGGAAGAGAATGGTGATGAGAACTACAATTTCCTGAAGACAGATTTATTGCATGTCAGGCTCTGTGCTACGTACATACTTATACTTTCTCAGTTTATTTCTAAGAACCAGCAGGTAATATGGCTATTCTTGTTTTAGAGCAAACTGGGGTTTAGAGCAGTTAAACAACTTTTCCAAAGTTATACCGTTGGTAACGGGCAGAGCTGAGACTAGACCAGGCTCTGTGGGGTCCCAGAGCCTGAAGGCTCTCTTTCCACGACCCACTCCCTCCTCTCTGCACTCTATCAGATGAGAAAGAAGGAAAGTAACATTTACCTAAGTCCACACTAAGCATTTTCTGAGTGTTAGCACCTTTAATCCCCACCAAATCTGTGGGGTAAAGATTCTTCTCCCCATTTCACAGATAAACCCACTGAGACTTAAGAATTAGGAATGAAGTTAGAGAAGCTAAGGAATGTGCCCAAGATCACAGTGGCAGAGAAGGAATTAATTTCAAAGATCATACTCTTTCCACCCCACCATGCTGTCCCCTTCTCCATGCTAAACACGGAAGGGTTTTTTTTTCCCCTAAAGGATAGAAAAGCATTTAACAAAGAGAAATAAGGAAAGAAGCAGCCCTCAAGATCTTGTTAAATCTCCAAAACAACTCTCATCCATCCAGTACTTTCCTGTTTAGATAATGCTTTCCAGATGTGTGATCTCATGTGATCCTCACAACAGCCTTGAAAGGTAAGTACCACCATTCCCGACTTCCAGAGCAGAACTAAAGCCCAGATGGGTTAAGTAACTTGACCAAGGTCAATTGCAATTAAGTGCTTAAAGATGGACTCAGACCATGTCCTGAAGGCGGAAGCCCACCATCTTCCCACTTTCCACATGGAATATTGCCTCTCAGGTTTAAGAGAAGAAGTAGAACATCATTCTTGGTGAAGATTCCTTATCTTAGAAAAGAAGTTCTTTAATGTATCTGGTTCTCCAAGGCAAGAGCGGAGGGACAAGCTACAACGACGTCAAACATCTCCTTAAGTCCACCCCCGCTACTGAACAGAAAGACATTTTCCTTCCACAATCCACACCTGGAATGACACTGAAAGTCACAAAACTCAAGTATTGTTTGATCTCACTATGACCCCCTGACCAAAAGGACAGACCCACCCATAGGGAGGGTGGGGATCTGTGGAGCGTTCACAGCCAACTTCCCAATCAGGACAGAACACACTCAAGTTCACTGTTAAACCTGGTTATACGCTAACAGATGAATAGGCGTGAACCACCAAGCCCCGCTCACCCCATTTAGACAAGAACTAGAGGATGACCCTTCCACATCAGAAATCTCAAAGATGGGAAGCACCCATGTTCTCTCTGCAAAAAGAATACAATGCCTCTTGTCTTCCTTCTAAGGAAACAAAAAGCCTAAATAAAGAAGCCATAGTATGGTGGCAGAAACTTCAGTTACTGAACTTTTTTGTGGTTTTGTCTATTTTTTGTCACTCATGAGCATATGTATTTCAGATGCTACACTGAATGTTTTATAAACATTATCCAATTTAATCCTCCTAACAACCCTATGGGGAATTATATTACCAATCCCAATTTATAGATAAGGAAACCAAGCATATTAAGAAATGTTCATTAGGACCAGCCCGGTGGCACGGCGGTTAAGTTCACACGTTCTGCTTCAGTGGCCCAGGGTTCGCTGGTTTGGATCCCAGGTGCGGACATGGTACCGCCTGGTAAGCCATGCTGTGGTAGGCATCCCACATATAAAGTAGAGGAAGATGGGCACGGATGTTAGCTCAGGGCCAGTTTTCCTCAGCAAAAAGAGGAAGATTGGCAGCAGATGTTAGCTCAGGACTAATCTTCCTCAAAAAAAAAAAAAAAAGAAAGAAATGTTCACAAGATCAACAGCTGGTCAGAAGCAGGACTGAGATGTGAACCCAAGTTTACCTGGCTCCAAAGCCTGTGTTTCTGTCCAGGATACACTACCAGCTACAGACTTTCCACCACTCACTCTCTACCCTAGCGCCTTCCCAACAAGGAGCTTCAAGATCAAAGGGTACGTGAAGCTGCAGACATGGTTCTAGACGTAGATCATCTTTGCCCATGTTGAACTTCAAAAAAATACATTGGTGGTTTCTTGGTTTCTCAGTTATCACCAAAATTAAGTCAAAGGGACTGAATTTTTGGAAACAAATCTGATCTATCTGATTCACAGGCCGAAAGATGCAATGATTTGTCACTGGGAGCCCGTGGTTGATTCTGTATTTAAATGACGTAATTTAGGCAAGAGAGGATATCCTTAAAATGTTGTCATGGAGCATAAGACTTTAAAAGCATCTCTTCAATTACATAAAATTTACCTTCCGCTGACTTTCTCACTAAGATTAAAAAATGCAAATCCTCCCACCTAAGTTTTGAAGAGAATCTTACTGTAACCTCTTGGTCTGGTCACTCCACCCCAGCAAAAGACTGACTTCCCTCTGCTGCCCTTGAAAGATCTGAAGTTTTTTTATTCTTTACTAAAGGAAGTTGTGTTTCCTTATGTACATTCAGGAAAAAAAAAAAACACAGGAAGGTCGCCTACCTCAGAAAAGAACTCATCCATGAAAGCTGTGTTGTCAATGGCAATCTCGACCTCATCGGCATCATCATCCTGTGTCAGCTGCTTCTGTGGGAGACAAAAGGGAGCAGGATGAGACTAAAAACACAAGGAACAGCTAACAGTATTGTCACTAAGGACCCGGAGCTCTATCTATATTAAGCATTTTTTCATATGTAATCTCCTTTAAAACTCAGAACAGCTCTGTGATGGACCAAACTCTGACGTCACACATCTGAATTTAAACCTTAGCTCCACCACTTACTGCTATTTTGCAGGGAGGCCAGGGGAGGAAGGGAGGGAGGGGCAAGTTACGAACCTCGCTGTGCCTGAGTTTCCTTACCTGTAAAACGCTGAGAATAACACTACCTACTTCATGGGGTTGTTTAAGAAATAAATGAGATAATGAATATAAAACACTTTCACACAGTGCCTGGCAAACCGGAAGTACTCAGTAAATGCTACGTTTTGTTGTTGGTGATGGTGGTGGTGGTGATGGTGACATTACTATAACTCATTCCAGCTGGAAAACCTACAACAGAGAGGTTAAGTAACTTGGCCAAAGTCACATAGCTAAAATGTGGGGACAGGCAGACGTTAGCCTGTCTTTTGGATTTGGATTCCATATTCCTAACCCCTTCTCCACAATGCTCAAATGCATGATCCCCCCCATACCAGGGATCTATATTAGAACACTCTCTAGCCACAATTCCTCCAAAGCACTGGCCTCAAATCCTCACAGCAGGAGCAAAGATTTTCCTGTTTTCAGAAACCACCTGTTACAAAGGAAATAGCACTGTGTGTTGTTCCCTGTCAGAGCTCATGTTTATAAGGAAAAGGAAGCTGGCCCCCAGCTTTCTTAATCTCATTCCGCTTCGGCTGCAAAATCACAAAATGGCTATCTAAAGAAGTGCTTCCGTTCCTACCCAGCGTCAAAGGCCTGAGCTGTTCCTACATTCTTCCCAAACGCTCGTCCGAGACTACTGCCTCACTGCACATTTCTAAGCACACAGGCAGAAGTGGGTGTTAGGAGCGGAGGCCAGGAAGGGGTAAACCCCCCTGGACCTGCTTCTTCACAGCCTTCAGTGGCCTGCGGGCTTCTAGGCCAAGACATGTCACTCTCCAAGACTCCGAACTCCACAGGCAATGAAAGCCACCAGGGGCCTCTTTTCTTCATCCACTACGAGCCCCCTGATCTGCAATAGGAGATGGAGTTACTGGGAATTCCCAACAAAATTTGGGACTCTTTAGCCATCTGGAGAGTCTCTTTTGACTGGGTCCCCCATCATCTCATTCTCTGGAAGCATCAGCAACCCATGCTTAAGAGCCACATTCAAAGGAGTTGAGTTTGAGGGCACTGCTGCTACAGCCCCCACAAACATCTTCCTAAAACTCAGAGCTGATCATGTCCTTCTGCCAATTAAACTCATTCAATGACAGCTCATCTTCTAGGATTAAAAGTCCCAGTGCCTAACAGAGCACATGGGCCCCTTAAGATCAGGCCTTATCCACATTTTTCCCTCTGTGATGCACTCTGTAGACCAGGCACTTAGAACTCCTTGCATTTCCCAGACATACAGTTCTTTCATAACGCTGAATTGTCACATAAGGACTTCTTCCTAAAATGCATTTGTCCAACTGGCAAAATTTTACTTAGCCTTTACAATTCAGTCTCCAACAACCTTCTGTGTCCATCTTACCTGACACTCCCCACCCCTGCAAAATTTAAAACCTCCTTAAGCATTTTGTGCAAACTTTCCGCAGCATCCATCATAGCCCTCTTTAATTATCCCTTATCCATCTTTCCCCATTGACTACAAACTCCTGGAGGATGAGGGTGGCCTTATGTATGTATTACAGTAGATATTTCAAGTGCGTGTGCCTGCCCAGGACACCTGCCTTTGTGGAGACACCCCTTACCTTCCCCACATGACGCTGGGAAGGTTATCAGTCATGACCCAAGCTCTCTGAGGAATCTGCATGCAAAGCAAACAGAGAGCCAAGTCAAGCAATGGCAGCAGCCAACAGAGACATCCGCTCGATTCCCAGAGCTACCCTCGTTTCTATCCTTCCTAAGCCACCTGTTGGCTTGGAGCGGGTTCTACAGATCTTCCCTAAAATTCTTTCAATGAGCTGAACAGTATTCTTCTAATATTTTTTAATTCATTTAGCCAGAGTCGGCTTTGGCCGCTTCCAATTAAAATTACTTGTACTTGTCAGTAATTGATTCCACATGTATATTGAGCATTTACCATGGACTAGACATGTAACAGAAATTGAATCAATTTTAGCTGAATAAATAACTAGCTTCCAGAGACCAGCAGCCTGGATTCACCCAGCAGTTTCTAGTTTGAGACAAAATCCTCCCTTTAGCAACTATCATTGTTACTTGGGCCTCCATCTCCCAAGAAGGATCTGTGTGATCCCCACTGGAGACTAGGATCCCAGCCTTCCTCTAGGAAGGTGAGTTAACAAGCATTTGTTAAGCTTTTTCTCTCTTCAGAGGTCTTCTAGAGACCCACACTGAGGGGAGACACTGCTCTATGTGTATGTGTGCACACATAACACCCAACACACTCAGACACACACAAGTGTGTCAACTTGTTCTTCAAACAGGCCCACGTGCTAAGGATGGATTAGGGAATCCATCACAGGATAGATTAAGGGAAGTTTCCAGAGACTGCAAACTACTGTGTCCCGGAACATGGAAGGCAGGCACCTAGTTATTCATCATGACATAGATTTTTGAGACCCCCCCCCCCCAGAATTTATACAGGGATTCCCCACATCCAAGGTTCTCCATGTCCAAGATGGCCACCTCTTGGCTTTGAGCAGGCACTAATCCACCTCTGGTGAGAGAATGTGTGAATTCGGAAAAGAGAAGTCTTTGGTGACTCACAACCCAGGTCCAAAACCTGCTGTTACCAGTTACTGGCTGTGAGACCTCAATCAAGTCCCTTACTGCTCTGAATTTTTTACCTATTAATGGTAATAACACCACATACCTTAGGACTTTTACAAAGATTGGAAGAGATCACATATAAAAAGCTTCTAGCCCAATACTGGGCATGTACTAAGTGCCTAGTAGATGTCAATTTCCCCATCAGCTAGCCATAAACCTGTGACACCTGAAAGAGTGAGTTCTCCTCTACAGGAAATTCTCCACACTAAAGGCTAAGTCAATAAGATAGGTCCACAGCATCCTGACAACCAGGATTCTATAACTTGCTCCACCACATACTAGTCACGGAGCCTTAAACAAATAGTTAACATCTCTGAGCCTCAATTTCCTTATCTACAAAATAATAACAATAGCATCTACCAGAGCTTTTGCGAGGATTAAATAAGGTAATATTTTAAAGCTCCCCATGCAATGTATTGCACATAGTAAGAACTCAATAAAGCTACCGTATATAAGATCGAACCAAGTCAATGACTCTATAGCTTTAACCTGGATCTAAGCACCTTTAAAGAGGAAAGAAACAAAAGATATAGGACTTGTAGAGCTGAACGCAACCTTACGGATTCCTCCCTTAGAGATGGGGAAACCAAGGCCTGACACCAAACAACGAATTACTGACACAGCCAGGAATAGAACCCAGGTTTCTTGGTTCCCATCTTCCCACAGAGAGTTTTTCCCACTGTGATGTGCGGCTTGCAAAAATATAAAATAACAATGTCAACAACAGCAGCAAGAACGTTTAATCCAGACCAGAAAATTCAAGGAAGAGGCCATCATCACAGGTTATGTGACACTGGAACTACCACCAGGCTTCTCCGGAAGGGGATCTACCAGATCCCAGGGCAAGGATTCCTTCCCTTCTGACACAGCGGGGCTCTTCCAGACCAAGAGGTCTCAAGGACCCCAAGGGCAAGGAAAGCACACAGTGCCCTTTATCTTCAGCGCATATGACTGCACACGGCCCAGAAGAGAACTTCAGCATCTTTATCAAAGGATCAAGATGTGTGGTAATAGGAACGTTACAGTAGCTACAACATCAGTGGCAGTAAAAAGTGTCCATGAGAACCACGAGCCCAGCCACCACTTCCTGTCCCCACCCCACCCCGGGCTCCTGCTGTCTCTCCCGCCAGGAGATGGGAGATATCGCCAAAGACTCAGGCAGCACTGAGCTAGACCCCAGGATCTATCGTCCACTCCGCCTCTCAGATGGGCCCCAAAATTCATGGAGAGCAGCCAGGGCTACGACCTTCTCTCTGGACAGAGAACGAAGAGTTCAGAGGCCCAGAACTCAACACGAAGTGACTTCATCTGCAGTTCCTCTCACTCAACACTGCCTGCCTTTCTCTCAGCTGCCTTCTCTATCATCTTCAGTCTATTCGACTGTGGGTCCCTCTTCTTTAGCTCCTTTAATAAAAATATTTGCCACCTATAAAGCCCCTATGAGGTACTAGGTGGCCATCACACTCTAGCCGCTTCCCATACACCATGTCAGAGAACCCCATCTATATTTTGTAGTCGAGAATCTGCAGGTCAGAAAAGTTCTAAGTTATTCAAGGTCTCCCAGCTACTAATTTGCAGAGTCAGGGCTCAAGCTTAGGTGGCCTGTCCTAAGTCCTTGCTTATTCCACTGTACCCTGCTCAAAGCAGCCTACCACCGAGAGCAGTCGGGAGCCAAGGAGAGCCACTGCCCAGCCCTCTAGAAAGCCGGGCTGGGAGAGACAGGCTGTGGGCTTTGGGGCCACCACTTGTCTCTATCAAGCCTTGGTTGTCTCACCAAGAAAGGAGCTTAGCTTTCCGATGTGGCTTTGCGGAACCCCAGGAAACCTCAGACGTGCCTCAGGAACCACCCAGGGAAGTCAGGGGACGGGGGAGCCAAGCAGGCGGGCCCCCACCCCTCTTCAATCTGCAGAGCTTTACTTTTATCTGCTCTATACTCTGGGGTGGAATATAACATTTCGTTTTAAGAAAGAGGCCTGTTGTCAAGAAAGAAAAGAAAAGAAGAAAAAAGGAAGGAAGGAAGCTTAGCTAGCTGGAAAAGCACTGAAGCGGATGAATGGATGCCTTCTAAGGACAAGAGAATGAACAGAGTCCTCCCACTCCTTTCCCA